ATCTGAAAACTGCATTCTGAATCTCAACGTACGCCTCAGTCATAATGTCAATACCATTATTTCGCAAGATCATTCTTTCTAATGCTCCAGTCGGGTCTTGTTCAATCACTATTAACGTCTTAACCTGGCCAAGTACACTCCAGATCTCGGGAGGGAGTTGAGTAAACAGAACCTCGAACTCATGCAATGTATGTTTGCCGTTTAGAATATCATGGACCATTCTGTACGCTAAAGAGCTCAAAGGCCCTCTATCATGGAGAGCGTTAGGCCTCAACTCACCAAATTGGAATAACATATATGTAAGCTCAAGCACATTATCATTATTCTTGTTCTTGAATGATCCGTATTGAATGCAATCCTCTGCATAATCCCCAATAATGACCTTGAATCTCTCTGAAGCGAACTTTTGTAGCATAGATGTTTTGCCCGAACAGCCAGTTCCGTCTAGAATTAATGCCATCCGAGATTCCTTGTACATGATTCTCCAATTTACGACTAATGGAGCAGCTTCTGCTGGAGACAAGCTGACGCTCGAAATCAAGGTCATTCATCAATCCATTCTACTGGTTCATAACGAAAAGTGCTACGAATCTGCTCGGCGTTGTGCGGATTCTGACTCACAAAATCATCGGTGTTAGGATCAACAGGGGTATTTGGAGAGTCGATATTACTGAAAGGAGAATCACCTATTAATACTACCGTACCACTGTCTTCTGTGTCATTCGGATCTGAGCTGGGGATGCCTCGCGGGCTCATTATCGGTGAACCGAAACGACTCTCCTGTGGACACATATTTTCCAAAAGGTCCTCGCGTGATAAAGAAAAACCACTGCCTTGATATTCTCTTAGCCACGAGCTAAATTGTCCAGGGGTGGATGGTCTGTTTATCTTCCTCAAGTGTGTAAGATGTCTCGTTTGTATCTTCCCTGACTCAATGTCCTTCACTCTCGCATTGTACCCTAGCTCACTCATAGAGACGATCTGTTGTGGTAGACTCCAAATTCTCGAGCCAACTTGTCTAAAATCCTTTGAGAGAACCAGGTCACCAATCCCAATCTGTGTATGGTTTCGTTTCTTGTTCCCAGGATCAGCATGCTTCTCGGCTTATCTTTCCATAATCTCAATGTCTTTGTTCCTGATAAAATTAAACCACTCGGCTCTCTCCGCGTTTGAATCGTAGATCAAATCATAGATTTCTCGATCCATCGTTGTCTCACTGGTAGTCACTGCGGTCGGTGCCGGCACTTGCATCTCGACGTCCGTTGACACCACAGCCTCGTTGGTCGTCGCTGCGGTCAGCGGTGGTACTTCCACCTCGACGTCTGGCGACACGGGCGCAGTGGCCTG